TATTTTTAATACCTCATTGTACAAAATACCATACTGTGAAGAAAAGGAGTTTTTTATTTTTATTTTAAAAATGAGACGTGGGGCAGGAGAGATAGGTCAGTAGGATAAGCGCTTGCCTGGCGAGCTCAAGGGCCTGAGTTCAATCCCTGGTTCCAAAAAAAAGAAAAAAAGAGAGAGACATGGATCCCACATTCGAGCATCTTAAAGTAATTTAGAAGACAGACTATAGGTAGCTGTGATTCAAGGTGGTGAGGAGCTGACAGGATGAACTGGACACATGTGAAACACAATCTCCAGAGCCATTGTTTTGAGAAGGTGGTGGCTGTATTCTAATTTTATAATTTAGCTATTACTGTGGTCCCTTTACTTGGGTTAGAATTAAGCACATTTTTTGGGAAAAGGGACTTTTTCTATGAAAGCAGTTTATCCTAGACACATTTTGTACAGTGAAAAAGAACTAAAAATTATTTCCTTGCAATTCACTAGAATACTCATTATTTAAGATTTAGTGAATTTTGTTCATTTTAACATGTAATATTTTACAAGTATAATTTTACTGAATATGCAGATTTTTCTGATTTTTTAAAATATACATTTTAACAGACATTTTACAGGTTGTTTGGAAACTAGTATTCTAAATGACAGTTTAGTATTTTTCTTCGGAGAGGTGTCATAGTCTTCTCTTTTGAGACTTAATGTATTTATGCATTTGTACAAGCAGTATGTTTTTGTAGTTTGGATTATTTTTCTATCTTTTTTTTTTTTTTTTTTAAATGGTGGAACCAGGGATTGAACTCAGGCCCTTGTGCTTGCCAGGCAAGCGCTTATTCTACTGAGCTATCTCCCCAGCCCCTTGTAGTTTGGATTATTTTAACCATATAATTTTTAGAAATAGTCAACAAATTGGGGGGGGGGCAATGCTTTTAGGATCACATACAGTTTCCTAGGGAAAAAAAAAAGCATACGTTGATTTTATTAATGTAATGATAGGCCTTTTAAATTTTACCCATTCTAGGCAGAAAATAATATATAGTTACTTCAGTTTGAACTTTTAAAAAATTTATACCAGGGATTACAAGATGAAAGCGGTAAAGGACCCCACCAGCCAAATTTGACCCTGTTCATTAAGAAAGTGGGAAGCTTTTTTAGAATTCCCACTCAGAAGAACTTTGACTATGGGCAGTATTGCAACTAATGATAACTGACTAGTCTGAGACTGCAAATGACATTTGGGTCAGTGTCCTAGTTACTCTTGTTGCTGGGACAAATACCTGACACGCAGAAGGATGGAAAGGCTATTTAGCTCACAGTTACTGGAGGTTTCAGTCCACTGGCTCCAAGGTACGTGGCAGAGGGCAGCAGAACAGCAAGATCAAAATGGAGAGTAGCAGCAACAAGGGCTACAGAAAGCAAGCCTGTCTCCCTTAGGCTCTCCGCCCCAGGCTGGGTGCAGCACTCACACCATAATCCCAGTGGATTGCAAGTTAATCACAGACTCTAGAAGTGGTGACTGCCTGAGGCTTTGGGGAACAACTAGACACAAACCTTAACAGTCAAGCACAGTGTCCGCTACAGTACCCTGATGTTTTTACTATTTATTGTGGGTGAGCCTGAGGGAGTGGTCGGCAGACTCCTAGGGACTAGAGCAGGGCCAGTCCAGCAGGGGTCCGGCCTTGGTGCTCCTGCCTGTTAACCACAGCACAGAGAGCTCTGAGGATAGTTCTGTTTCAGTGTTCTCAGCAAAACACTGAGACCCTGTACTTTCAGCCCTATCACATGCTTGTCCCCTTACTTTTACCGTATAAGTAAACATGCAGGCTGTGCTGGGTTGGTCCCACCCGATCCCAGATTTCCTTTTAGTGTGTGTCTAGTGTTTTCGTAATCTCCCATTGCCCTCCCTCAGGACCCGGCTGCTGTGTGCATCGAGGCAATTTATCCCACATTTGAAAAGATAGCACATTTGTCATCCTCGGAGTGATACCGATTCCCTACCCTATTTGACTCAAATTCACAAAGTCTTAATTGTTTAATAGCAGCACAAACTTAAATATATAAATAAATATAGCAGAATGGATGTGACCTGCATGATACTTAGATTTTTTTGAAGTTAATGTCTCTGTAGTTTATTATACGCTCAGTGTAAAGGTAAATATTATATTGATCCCTATTAATTGTTTATTTTGTTATTATAACAGTCCATATCACTGCTTGTTTTATCCTTTATCACTTTGCATCTAAGGTCAGTGTGTCTATATCTTTGTAGATTGAATTTCTAATCCAGTTTTGCTTCCTTCATCTCAGTGACGCTACTATGACTTAGATTTCTGGTTACTATTGTCTTCTTCCGTAGTGTGTAAAATAAAAGACAGAGATGGAGTGAGAGTTTTGTCTCAGTGTTTTCTACCTTGAGTTCTGTTGGATCTGCTGTTAACACTAACATTCTACCTTGATTTTGCTTATTTGTATATTGTCTGTTTTAGTCCTTTTATTTTCAACCTCACTTTATGATATTTATTTATTTATTTATTTATTTATTTTTGGCAGAACTGGGGATCGAACCTCAGGCCCTTGTGCTTGCCAGGGAAGCACTGATCCCGCTGAGCCATCTCCCCGGCCCTGATTTTTATTTTATATGTCCATTTTGTGTATACATCTAACTGGACATTTTTCTCCTTGCATCTCTCTCTGTTTCTCTCCTTAGTGAGGCTAGCCCAGGGGTTCTTTGGGCTTGGCTCTGTCATCCTACTTGCCGTGCGTGTGTCGTGATCTCCAGTTAGGCACTGGGATTCCATTCTCGTAGTTATTCTGATGTTTGAAGGAAAGTATTTCTTCTACAGAGGTGGAGCTACTCAGTGCTCGTTGTGTTCCTCTCGCCACCACTGTCAAGGTTATTTCCTTTTTTAATATAGATATATCAGCCCCCTCCCACGACTATCCAGTTTCTGCCTGTTCCTTAGAATTAGGCAGGCTTGTTGGCGCAGTGTACGTTCCTTGGCAGCTGCAGGGTCGCCACCATAATTGCATGCCTGGGAACATTCTGTTAGGGATCTTCCCAGGATGTGGCCCACTCAGAGTGCTGCACCTTTGAGGGTGCGTGTATGTCTTCTTAAAATTTTATCTTCTATAGATTGTTACTGAATTAGTGTAGACCTAATTTTTGAAACAGAAATGAGATGGAAGTTGTGTGAGAGTAAGAGCAGAATTGTATTTTTTGACAAACAGAAGGTTCCAGTACCACTTGCCATGGTGGCTACAGAACCATCCATGGTGGCACGTGCCTGTAATCTTAGCCTTGGGTAGGCTGAGACAGGAGAATCATGATGAATCCAAACTGTGTAGTGAGACCCTGTATCAAAAAAAAAAAAATTTTTTTTTTGGTTCAGGATCATGTTAAATAACAATTGAGGCATTACTCTTTCAGCTCTCTAACCTTTTTTATCCTTTGAGTAGGGAAAATAGGTAGAAATTTTGCCTCTCATGTATGTATAAAACTAGACACTGCTTCAAAAAGAGGAATTGTCTGGATTCTCCCCAGGACAGGAAATTGGTATTGTCTTTTTTTTTTTTTTTTTTTTTTTTTTTTGGTGGAACTGGGGATTGAACTCAGGCTTTTGCACTTGCCAGGCAAGCACTTGTCCTACTGAGCTATCTCCCTAGCCCCTGGTATTCTTGAACAAAAACCCCTACCTTCATCTCTGGATAAAGTTTGTTGGGGCACTTAGAAGCAAATTATACATGAAAGCATGCAATAATGTCATTTATTTTTTGCTAAAGGTATCCACAGATATGATCCTTAAAGAAAAGAAGCGCAAGTTCTAAACTATAGAAATTCAGCTGGAGGTTATCCAAACAGAGTGTTTGAGAAAACCTGAGCGAATAGGAGTCAGCTGAGATAAATTGTCAAAGATAGGCGGGGTTGATGAGACAGGTGGGGAAGTAAAGGCATTCTGGGTAATGGGTAGTTTAACATTTTTGAGGACTTCTGCAGCATAAAGAAGGTGGAGGGTTCTGAGAGGGCATAAAGGGAGGTGATGAACTTATTTCAATTCAGGGTGGCACAAGACAGAGTTAATGGCAGCAGAAAACAGCAAAGCAATGAGAGAGAAAACCTGATTTAAACAGTGGCTTCTAGGGCCGGCCAGATAGCGCAGGGGTAGCACAGCGGCAGGCGTGCTGTGCCAGCCCCTCCCTTGGGGTGCACTAAGACAAGGACTGAGACTGGGCATGGTGGCGCATGCCTATAATCCCAGCGCTTTCAAGGCTGAGAACAGGAGGGTCACTACAAGTCTGATCTGTAGTGAGCCCCTGTAGACCCTTTCTTTTTTTCTTTATTTTGCAACCGGGGATTGAATTCAGGATCTTGCCCTTGCCAGGCAAGTGCTTATTCTGCTGAGCTATCTCCCCGGCCCCTTTGTAGGCCCTTTAGACCCTGCCCTAAATTCATAAAATAAATAAATAGCTTCTATTGTATTTTATAATAAGGTGTAGGTTTTAGATTGGAAATACTTCCTTTAAAACATGAAAGATCTTTTCTATTCCTGGTGCTTCACAAGCTCTTAAGTGTAAGCAATGGTGTGGTATCCTATGGTCTTTTTAAATGTGTCTTGTTGGTCTGTTGGATTCTTTTAAACTTGAAGCTTGTATTTATCCAAAAAGAACTTTTCTGAGCTGGGGAGATGGCTCAGTAGAATAAGTGCTTCCCTGGTAAGTGCAATGGACCGAGTTCAATCCCCGGTTCCGCCAAAAAAAAAAAAAAAAAAAAAAAAGAACTTTTCTCTTCTTGTACGTTTGGGCCAGGTTTTATTTATTTATTTTTATTTGGGGGGGCAGATTTTAATGTCAGAGTTAAATATACTTTGGAATAGTTAATGGAAATTACTCTTATATAGATATTTGAAAGAAGCACCTGTGCCTGCAGTTTTACTTTTGAAATCGAAAGTTTCTTCTTAAATATATTTCTTTCCTTAGACTTCTGTGGATGTTAAATTACCACTTATATAATGTCAAGAAACTCAGAAGCATCTACGTGTCAAATGACAGAGCCATTTAATTTTGAAAAAAATGAAATCAAGCTTCCAGCACACGATTCTTTAAGAACTACTGGAGGACATCATAACCATCCTAATTTCAGGTTGAAAAGTCCAGAGAATGGAAATGAAAACAATTTTTTGCTTTGTGAGCAAACCAGGCCGTATTTAGTCGGCCAGGAAGACAATTCAGTGTCTTCAAGTGAAGATAGCATCAATGGTGAAGTGAGTGAATCCAAGGAGAACGGAAAGGCAGGTGAGTGAAAACCGCTGGCTTTGAACTTTTGTGTGTGAGACGTTGCTTCTGGGGCTTGAACCCAGTACCTTTGTACTGAGCTATATCACTTGACTGTTTTTCAAATTTTGAAACAGTGTCTTACTAAGTCACTGAGTTATCCAGCTGAATTTTAACTTACTGTCCTCCTATTTTAGGCTCCAAGAGTGCTGGTGTAAGGGGCTTACACCATCACACTGTCTAGGCCTTCTGCTTCTTGAGTCTGATAGTTTCTGACTGTCTTGGGTACTTTTCACTGGTTGCTGGGACAAAATACCCTACACCCAAAATTACAGAAGGAAAGGTTTATTTAGCTCACAGTTTGTGGAGGTTTCAGTCTATGCTTGGCTGGCTCCCAGGCAGAGTGGTTCATGGCAGCAGAAAACAGCGAAGAGCAAGGGCAGCAACTGCAGCTTCTAGCCAGCCTTTCTCCTTGATACTGTAAACAAATTACCCTGGGCTGGGGGTGTAGAACCCACACAGTGTCCATGCCCTCCTCTTGCACAGGATGAGGATGTTTACGAACAGGGTCCTGGCTCTCTGCTTAGTCCTTTAATTTAACCTCTAAACTTCTCAAGTTGACACAATGTATCAACCAGTACACTGAGTTATCACAAAAACCTATATTATATAATATATACACAATATGATTTTATTTTATTTATTTATTTTATTATTTTTTTAAATAAACCTTTCCTTCCTTTATTTTGAGTGTCAGGTATTTGTCCCAGCAAGGAGAGAAGAGTAACTAAGACAACACTAAATACTTAAGGCATTGTTTTCTAAGTGCCAAGGCCTGAGACATAGTAATCAGGCATGACACACTTCTGCGCTTTCTGTACTTTCCAACCACCCAGTATCACAAGAGAATCAACAAGCAAAGCCAGCTAGAAGATGCCTATGTTGGCACAGGCTGCAAGTCCGGTTCACCTGGGAGACAGGTTCCCTAGGGACTGTCTTATGCCACCGCCGCCGCCTCCTTGTTTTGGTGATGTAGTCCACCGGCTCCTTCATGGCTTGTTCCCCGCTGTTAATCTGTACCTCAGTCTCATCACCAGAGGATGCAAAAGCTTGACTTTCATCCTGATTCTTATTTTCTTTTTGTGCTTCCTGTTTAAGGTGGGTTTTCAAAGCCTTTAAGAGCTTGTTTGCTCTCAAGTTAGCCCGGAGGCCCAAACTCTTGGCCAAGTTCTGTAGGTCGCTGTATTTCAAGGAGCCTAGCTCCTCCGCAGCGAGGACGGTTGCCATGTTCCAGCACTCCACACCACACACGGGACTGGGACGCTGACCCGAAGCGCGCAGTTCAAAACTCTGGCGCCCCACGATATGATTTTAAAGTACAGTGAATGCTTAAATTTTTTTTAAACAAAAGACACTGTCATTTTTTTTTTTTTTTTTTTTTTTTGGCTTGAATGCCTTCAGGGCAGGTATGGCTGGCTTGAGTTGTGAGAATCAAACCACAGCAACCTGAGCCTGACTGCTTTGTTGAAGCAGCCACTTAAAGAACTTAGCTAAGGGGCAGGCCCCATTAATTATTGTAAGAAAATTCCTGTTGCTTTAGATACACTTATTCCACCATTCTTGCCTCTTTCTGAAATAGTTCTAGACGTCTTTTTTCATGAATGTCTTTACTCTAGTGGCACTGTTGTGACCACCTTGCCATCCTGAGTCATCTTAAAATATTTACCTTTCATGGTCATTGTACTTTGGAGAGGAGCCAGCAGCCACACAGTTGGCCCTGTAAATAAGGTCAGTGAGGACAGTGTTTTGCAGCCAGCCTTTGCATTGGATGACACTCAGCAGCATTCACTGTATTTTTGATCACTTACAGGCAAGAATGAGGGCTTCGAAAAATAAATTTAAAAAATTAAAAACAGCTTCTCACACTGCTTCACTAATTGGCAAGTATGAAGACTTACTGTATTTGAATCAACAGGGAGTGTATTTGGAGGGAGATTAATAGCCATTTTTCTCTTGCTATAATTCACTGTATTTTGATCTCCCATTGTAATTACACATCAGTGGGCTGATAACTGAAACAGCCAAGTGACTATAATATTTGTATTTAGTTCTTAATTTATTTTTTATTTTTATTTTTTTTTCGGAACCGAGGATTGAACTCAGGCCCTTGCGCTTGCCAGGGAAGTGCTTATTCCACTGAGCCATCTCCTGAGCCCCTTAGTTCTTAATTTAGAAGGAAAAATAAAATGTATAAGTAATCACCTTTGGCTTGATTAATCACAGAAAGGATTACCCAGGAGAGAATGACTATGGATGAGCTTTTTCCCTCCTACATAGAACTGTATTAGGAATGTAGAAAGAAAGTAAATGGCTTTATTTTGGTGTTCTAAAGCCTGGCCGTATTTTAAAAATAGCACACAAATGTTATACAAATAAGGGATTAGACAGATAAGATATTAACTGGTTTCAAGTGATACAATTTTTTTTGGTCCTAATTCTAAAACTTTTGCCTCTAAAGGAGGGTACTGCCTGGTGGAAGTTAGAGCCTCTTTGAAGGCAGATGACCTATGATCTTTTACTGTTATGTTGATATAATCCTTGAAATATAGACTCTTAGACCTCTAGACTTCCTTGGGAATTCAAAATCATTTTCTTAAACACATTAGAACATTTTCGGCCAATTTTTTCCATGGTGAGTATACACTCGGTGCAAAAGCAAGGATGGGTCAGCTGCCTTAGCTTTACACTGTAGCTCAGTGTACAGCTAAGGCACCATCCTGGGCTAATGGTCATTGGATTTCATTGCTTTGCACCTGTAGTTAAATAAAAATCAGAGGTGCCAATTTCACTTAAAAGCTCTCCAGTGTAACTATAAAGATTTTTTTTTTTATTAAACTTTGACTCTTATATACGGATATTTTTCTTTGTGTAAAGAGGTAAGAATCGCTCCCACCCTCTGAAAAGCATGAATGGAACTGAGTTATGAACTCTTTTTTTTTGTGCTTTGTTTTTTTTTTATTTTTCAACAAATAATACACTGCATATATTCTTCTTATGAACTCTTCTTGGGACACTTTTTTGTTTGAATGATAAACTGACTGGGCTTAGGTATTTACCACACATCTAATTGAGTTTGCTACTTCAAGGATATCTGACAGTATTTTGTTGCCAATGATAAAATTCAAACTTTCAAGCAGAGTGGGAGTGCAGGAAATTTATCTGCCACTCTGTTTTTGTTTTTGTTTTTGGCAGAACCCGGAGATTGAACTCAGGCCCTTGTGCTTGCCAGACAAGCACTTATTCTACTGAGCCATCACCCTGGCCCCCATTTTTTTTTTTGCCACTCTGATTTTTAAGAGCACCCCAAATATTTAAATGTTTCCTTGTGAGGTACATGTGATAGTAACACATCATAGTAGCACATGATATTGTGTAACGAAATATGTCAGTATTTGACAAGTCTGTGTAGCTGTGTGAACTGACCTTCTACAGATGGTTAAAAGTCTGTCTGTTCAGGTGGGAAGATAGCTCAGCAGCATAAGCATCTGCCTGGGAAACGCAGGGTTCTGAGTCCGATCCCCAGTACCAAAAAAAAAAAAAAAAAAAAAAAAAATTCTATTCAAAGGTCAGGATAAATCCATTGATTCTAGTGTAAGAGAATAATGTGGTTTACAGTCCTTGTTGCAGTTGACAAGGTACCACATAGAATTACTTAAAATGACAACAGGGCCAGGGATGTAGCTCACTGGCACAGTGCCTGCCTGGCAAACATGAGGTTGTAAGTTCAATTTCCTGTACCAAAAAAGTATCCACAGTTATGTGAGAGGAACATTACACACTGTCCACGTAAACAGTGACCTCTACAACTACGTGAGGCCAGATTTTCTTCAGAAACTTCAAAGTAGCATATGCTAAGTTGAATGCAAATGTGTATGTACATATATATACGCACACACACACACATATATGGTAGGAATACAGCTGTCTTTTGTTAAGTCAAACATTAGGTATACAAAAATGTAAGTTTTTCAGTACTTTTTTGTTTTGAAAAATGTTTTTTTAAAGCACATTATGTCAACATGTCTCAGTTACTCTTCTCTTATTGCTGACGCTCAAAATGAAGGAAGGAAAGGTTTGTTGAGCTCAGTCCATACTCAGCTGGCACATGGCAGATAGCGACCTTTCCTGGTGGCAGCAGAGAGCAAAAGAGAGGAGTGGTCGCAGCGCAGCAGCCAGCTAGCCCGCCCCTCTCCCCTCCTTACACTGTACTGCAGATTGCCCGGCCCAGGGGGCAGGGGCGGCACTCACACCTGCAACACACGGCGACTTTCTCTTAGTTCCATGAGAAGAAAGGTTTGTACTAATAGTGTTTAGACATGATATCCTTGCTACATCTTTTCCTCGGAATAGCTACTATGAAGACAATATGCAATATATTAAGTATTGTAACTGTCCTACTAACCTGTTTTGAAACTGTTTCCTTGCTATTTTTATCTTTTTTCTCATTAAAATGAATAAAATATATATTTAAAAAAATCACAAACTCTAGAAGCCAAGCTGCCCCATGACTGCATGAGGCTTTTGGGGGGCACCTAGACATAAACCATAACACAACATGTAATACTTTATTTTGGCATGAAGGTACGTTTTTTTTTTTATTTTTATTTTTACTTTTTTTTTTTAATTTATTTTATTTATTTTTTTGTGTGTATGGCCAGCTCAGCCCACCAGGGGGCGGGGCTGGCTGGCATGTGGTGTTGGGGGATTGAACCGCGGTCCCTGTGCTTTGCTAAGCTTGTTCTAAGTAGGTGCTTTAGACCACTGAGCCATCTCACCAACCCCTATTTTTTTATTTAAATTTTTATTTTTTATTTATTGAGAAACAAATAGCAATGAGACAGTTTCAAAACAGGTAAGATAGTTACAATAATTAAAACATTGTATATTGTTGTCTTCATAGTAATTATTCGTAGTACAAGATGTAGACATCATATCCTGTCCAAACACTATTAGTACAAATCTTTCTTATTGAATTAAGAGAAAGTAGCTGTATATCTATCCTAACTATTTTGTATATACAGATACAAAATAGTCCTTCATTTATATCCCCTTTTTTTGTTTAGTTTTGTCAGAGATGCCATTTAAATATTGTAGGTGTGTGAATTTAGCAAAAGAATCCAATATAGTCCAGTAGTCCGTGATAGTAGTGGGTTATCCATAGAACTGGCACTGTCAGAAGTTACTGACTTGAGCCTTTTATAGCTCAGCATATTACATTTATTTATTTATTTATTTAATTTATTTTTTGTGGCAGAACCAGGGATTGAACTCAAGCACTTGCACTTGCCAGGGAAGCATTTATTCCTCTAAGCCATCTCCCTGGCCCCTTACATTTAGTTTTAAGTGAATATTTTAAAATTTAGTTTTAATTTTTTTTTTTTTTCTTCTTTCCATTGACTACCTCCTGTTCCTTCTCTTGCTATCAGCCGGAATCTCAGGCTCTGCTTTTTTTTTTTTTTTTTTTTTTTTTTTGCGTAACCAGGGATTGACCTCAGGCCCTTGCGCTTGCCAGGGAAGCGCTTATTCCACTGAGCCATCTCCCCAGCCCTAGTTTTAATTTCTAGTACAATAATAGTGATAGATATAAGCCATGACCATCTTTGGGCTCACCAGTACCTTTTATGAATTTTATAAATGGGTTCTGAGTTCAAAAAGTTTTGAGAACTGTTCTTTTGAATAGGGAAGAGTTCACAATGAGAAGAGCAGTAGTCAGAGTTTTAGACAACTCCTTATATTCTGTAAGGAAAAGTAGGATGCTGCTTATTTGTAGTGCACTTTACGGCATTATGGATTGACTTATTTGAATGTCAGATAATTTACGGTACTTTTACATTATCACTAATAAATCACGACACTTAGTTTTTATCACGAATTGTGTTTTTCTGTCCCAGGAAACTCAGTGTCTCCATTAAGTGTGGGAAATAATTCACCCCCCAGAGAAATACCTGTAAGTATTTTTTTTTCTACTTTGCATTTTTGTTTGGGTAAAATATGCTAATATTTTTGTGTTGCACTGATAAAAATATTCAATTTATAGATAATTCAAGGTCAGATTTTCTTAAAATTATTAGTATATGTTTGTGATACATAGTAATTACAGTCATCTTGAGGGATTGGTACACATCCAATTGCATCATGGTTAGGTTTATTCTCCACTCCTCCAGCCCTAATTTTCTTTAACATAACCCCTTTTTTTTTTCTTTTTAGATAAATGTAAATTCACACACAGTTGTTAGAAATAGGGAAATATTTTATGTCATCTTTATCCAGTTTCCTTCAGTGGTAACAGACTGCAGAACAATATTAAATGTAAGATACTGACATTGATACAATCAAGACACAGGATATTTCTGTCATTGCAGGTGTCCCTTGTGTGGCTGCATCTACCTCCCGTACACCACACCCCTCCTTAATCCCTGGCAGTCATAACTATCTATAGTTCTGCAATTTTGATGTTTTAAGAATGTATAGACGGAGTTAGTATATAATGTTTTGGGATTGTCTGTTTTCACTGTGAGTGATTCTTTAGAGATTGATCTAGGTTGTTTTGTATATCGGTGGTTTGTTCCTTTCTGTTACATGCTTGGTATTCTTCCATGGTATGCATAGCTTGCTTAACCATTCAGCTAGTAACATAGATCTGCATTGATTACAGCTTTTGGCTATTGAAAATTAATCTGCTGAATTCAAGTTTTTATTGTTGTAAGATAAATGCCCAGGGGTGCAGCTTTAGGGTCATGTAATATTTCAAATTTTAAGAAACTTCCAAACTGTTCTCTGATAAGACTGTACCATTTTACATTTTCACTAAGTGTATGAATGAAAAAAGTATGTGTGAATGATCTCTGCATCCTTGTCTGTGTTTGGTGATGTTCATATTTTTATTTTACTCTCATAAATCTCAGTTGCTTCCTAGTTCTGGGTTCTGTAGTTCTCTGCTAGTTTCTCTAGTCCATTAATCTGTATATTCCTCCACTAATATGATGTAGTCTTCATTATTAGCGTTACATAATAAGTCTTATAATTGCACACAGTGATTCATTCCACTTTTTCTTTTTCAAAATTGATGTAGCTATTCTAGAGCCTCTGCCTTCAACTACATTCAAAATAATAATACACATCTACAAAATAATCTTGCTGGGATTATGATATAAACCTGTGTATCAATTTGAAAATTATTGACATCTTTGCTGAGTTAAATCTTCCAATTCTTGAACATAATAATGTCTTTCTACCTGTAGATCTTCGATTTTTTCACTTTGTAGTGTTTAGCCTACAAGTCCTGTGAATGTTGTTAGATTAATGCTTATGATTTTCATTTTTTGAATGTTAATATTTTTAAATTTTTGTCCTCGTTTATTGCTTATATGTAAAATATGATTGAGTTTTATGAACCTACCTTGCTGGGCACTCATTCTAGAACCCTTTTTCTACCACTCAAGCAGTTTTCTACATAGCCATATTTGCATACTATTCATGCATTCTCACACACTTTTGGGGGAATATAAACACCTTTTAATACTTCAGAGTGGATTTTGTTTCCAACAAGATTTGTTAGAAAATGCCATGTAATTTCATGAATTGTGGCGCATTGGTGACGATAGAATGAAAGGAGGACAAGCCCGTGAAGCGCCGTCCGCCTCATGGTGTGTTCTCGTCCACCAAGAATCGAGCAGGATCAGCCTGAATCTCGACCATCTACTGTTCTTGTCTCAGGCAGCAGCAGACTCCAGGGAGTTTAAAAAACATAAATAAAGCTGCACAACCCAGCTGCCTCCATCATCCCTCTCATTCTGCATTTTCTTCACATAAGTAGTCAGAACAAGGACATGAGGCAGGTCTTGCTTTATCGCACTGGTGAGAACTCTACTAAATAAGGGTGGTGATAGTGTATTGATCCTGTTTCTTTTTTTAAAAAATTTATTTGTGTGTGTGTGTGTGGCCAGCTCAGCCCACCAGGGGGCGGGGCTGGCTGGCATGTGGTGCTGGGGGATTGAACTGCAGTCCCTGTGCTTTGCTAAGCTTGTTCTAAGTAGGTGCTTTAGAGCACTGAGCCATCTCACCAGCCCTGATCTTGTTTCCAATATTAGAAAGCACTTGGTTCTTTACCAGTAACTGTACATTTTTCTCCCAGTGATGGGGATTGAACCCAAGGGTCTTGTTCTCACTAAGCAAGCACTCTACCACTGATCTACATCCCTATTCCTTAATGAGTTAATTCATTAATCTGTTTATTTATGAAACAGCACTCTGGGAAGTCGAGGGAGGAGTATCCCAAGTTCAAGTTCAGCCTGGGCAATTTAGTGAAATTTTGCCTAAAATAAAAATTTTTAAAAAGGGATATAACTCAGTGTGAAGGCCTTGGGTTCAATCCCTAATACTGCCAAAACAAACACAAAAGTTATGCATTGCCTATTTGTCTTTGCAGTTCAGTTTTGCTTTACATTTTATAGCTATGTTATTTGTTCATGCACATTTGCGATTGCTGTTTTCCTGTTGGATTTACACTTTCGGCATCATAATGTCACTCTCAATTTTTTTCCCCTGAAAATTTTTTTTGTCTGCTATAAATTCAGCCCCTTTTTTAATTATTTGAGGTACTTATCCATCTTTTTATCACATTCTGCTTATATCATTGTATTTGAAATGCATTTCTTAATAGCATATAATGTATATCTTTTAATACAGTTCACTAGTCTTTTAATTGGTGCATTTAGGGCATTGACATTTAAAGCACTTATTGATATTTGGGTGCTTAAATTTGCCAGCTGTGTTTTGTTTTTCCTGCCTTGTAGATTCTTTGAATAATTTCTGTAATATTTTGATTTGTGTCATGATTTTGAGTACATTACTTTGTATAAGTTTTCTGGAGGCTGCCGTGGACTTTGTATTGTAGATTTACAACTTGCTGATGTCATCATTCTGTCAACTTGGGTATAGTATAGATGCTTCCTCCTTCAGTCTTACTTGTTTTATGGAAGAATTTAGTTTTTAGTTGCCTTTACTAAAGGGATGAACAGGGAAAATGTGTTTGACCCAAAGAGTATGTTTCAAATCCAGTACTTACATTATTACCAAATTCTAATACTGCTATTCTCTGTTCTTAATAGAAGCCTACCAATAATGTGTCTTCTGCAAAGTCAAAAAAATCACACCAGTTTAAGAATTCCTTGTCCATAAGCAATCCAGCACTTTTCAACTCTTTACGACTTCCTTTTCGCTCCACAACTTGCCATCGCTGTGGCCTGTTTGGTAAGCATAATACTCTTAGGTGTCCGCTAGGTTATTCTTCTACACATTCAAAAATATTTATATTACAGAAAATTTTAAACGTAATATTTTGTATAAACAAAATAATATAATGTATATGTCATATAGTTGTTGCTTATCTTCAGTAGCAAAATCCACCCGTGATCGTTTGTTACTGAGTAGTATTCCATTGTATGATTGTATTACAATTTGTTTATTTTATCTTACTTGCAGTACGAAGGACCAAACTCAGGACCTCCTGAATGCTAGATACACACTCTGCCACTGAGCCACATACCCAGTTTCTTTAATTGACAGATAAAATTACTTGCATTTACCGTGTACATTATACTGTTCTGACCTTTGTTTATTCGTTTTTCTGCTGATAAACATGGTTTTGTCTAACTTGGGACTATGATGACTCGAATAGGCATAAACATTTTTGTCCAAGTCTTTGTGTAGACCTGTGCTTTGATTTATCTTGAGTGCACACTTCAGAGTAGAATTGTGAGTAAAGGACAGATATGCTTTTAACCTCATAACAACCTGCCAAAGCATTGCCCAAGATGGTCTGTTGGTAATGAGCTGAGCTTGCTATCCGCCAGTGCCAACATTTGATATTGTCAGTGTTTCAGAAATGACTTCCCTCATGGTGGTATAGTGGCATCTCATTGTCCTAATGTGTCACTCTCATCAATGGCCTGGAACAATCTTTCTGTGTGTTTACTGGCTACTCGGATTTTATGTTTTTGTTCTTGTTTTTAACCTCCTTTTAGAGTAGAAGTGTTTGATGCCACCCTGACTTTTGTTTATTTTGTTTTTTTGTTTTTTAGATTACCTATTTTCTTCCACTTGGATACTGAAGATTGTTTAAAATAGCTTATTTTAAAAACTTTCGGTTTTTCTAGCTGTGAGTCTCATTTTTTGATTGTTGTTTAATGATACATGGCAAGCTAGTTCAGCCTACCTAATTTCTACTGCAACAGTTTTCTGTTTTCTTTGCTTTCTTCTTTGCATCTTCTAGGCTTTCTTTCAGGAAGTCATTTATGTCTCCGGTCTGACCTTCCTCTCATTTTCATCCTTACAACCCTTTTTCTCTGCATTCTGAGAGAGTTTAAGAAGTTAAATCTTAATACCTAACCATAATCAGCTCAACTCTATTCAGGCAGTCTGCTTGAGATGATTTGCAGAATGGTGTATGATATGTTTCATTTTTGGAAATGTCTTGATCTCCATGTCACCTCCTTGGCACATACCTCCAGTGACATCCCAGGTTGTACCCCACAGGGTCACTGAGGTGCTCTCAGTGCAAGCAGACATACTACTGCTCCACGGCGTGTCAGCGGAGGGACTGGCCCACCCACAGCATTGTGTGTAAACCTGTCCAGCCGAAGTAAGTGTTCATGGGAGATACTGGAAAGGGTCGGGGTCCTTTTTTTCCTTATACAATAGGGATCTAATCAGTTGCACAGGCCAGAAATACATCAAAGTTACTTTCTATTAAAGTATAACAAAATGTATAAATCTGAAGTAGCTCGATAAACTTAGTTCTACTAATATAATTTCATTAGGTGTAGTACATATTATGATTTAGAAACTGAAGTTAAATTGTAAGGGTTAGAATTTTAGAAATCCTTGCTTTTTAATCATGTATGCTTACCTGAATTTTAATAATTTGTAATTTCACAGGATCTCTTGAGTTGTAATTTTTAAATTGTTTAAAAAATATTTTATTTATTTATTTGGTACAGGTTCTCTCATACTCATAGTGATCCTCCTGTCTCAGCCTCCCTAGCACCGGGATTACAGTCATGTGCCACAATGCCCAGTTTTGGGGCCTGGCAAGGCATGTGGTACTAGGTATTGAACCCATGTCCATGTGCTTGCCAAGCAGGTGCTTAGACTGCTGAGCTGTCTCCCTAGCCCTGAGTTGTAATTTTAAAATATAGACATCTTACTTGTGTGACATTTGCCAATTTATAGAAGTTTCATGTATAACCTCATTTGATCCTCAAAATTCTATCTAGGTAATGTAGGGATTACAGCCATTTTGCAGATAAGAAAATTGAGCCTTGGCAGTTTACTTTGCCTTTCAGTTGGTAGCTTCTGGAGGTAGCACACTAGCACGCACACAGGGTAGGTCATTGCATACGCAGCACTGGGCTGTTTTACTCTTACTGCTGGGACTACCTGGAAGAAGTTGTTTTGTTCTTTCTGCATTCAGTTCGTTGAGATCTAAGATGACTGTGATTAATGGCCTCTGCTCTTAGTTGCCTCTGTAGCATAAGTGTGGCAATCTGTTGCTGTATTTCAGTTTCCGCAAACTTGAAGATAACAAGCTACCTTTTGAAACAAATACGGAGGTGCAAAATGAGGTATAGTATTCTTCATCATTGGGAAAGTGTTAAATGACTCTCCTTTATTAAGATTTAAGCTTAATAAAGGATTCAAACTTCTACACAAATCTTTAGAGAAAAATTTCCCATTAATTCTCCATACCCTAGTGATGGAATTTGATAACAGAGGGTCTTTCACATCTTTTCTCAAAAAATTCTTTTTTTTTTTTTTTTTTTTTTTTTTTTTGTACAGGGTCTGCAGGGTCTCACTTCGTAGATCGGACTTGTAGTGATCCTCCTGTTTACAGCCTCCCAAGTGCTGGGATTACAGATGCATGTCGCCATGCCCAGTCTCAATCTCTGTCTCAGTGCGCCCCGGGGGCGGGGCCGGCACCACAGGCCCAGGAATCGAACTCCTGGCCCATGCGTCTGCGTAGGCAGGTGCTTTGATCCACTGAGCTATTTGGCCAGCCCTAAAAAATTCTTGGGATGGCTGACTTGGTGTAAAATGTTTTTGTAGCCCTTGGGTGCAGATTCTGTTTATGAATGCCACGTTGTTTAGGTCCTGGCTTTTTTTTTTTTTTAATTTTAATTTAATTTTTTTTTTTTTTTTTTTGTGGAACCGGGGATTGAACTCAGATCACTTCGTTTGCCAGTCAAGCACTTATCCTACTGAGCCATCTCCACAGCCCCCGCCCCCCAAAATTTAACATTCTGCGAAGTTGTATGCCAGAGGGGCGTAGTCCTTCTTGGCAGCTGCCTTCCTCATGGCGGCCAGCATGTTGCTCAGCTCCTTCTGCTTCCTCTTGGCACAGATGTGTGTCCCCACCCTTTTCTTGATGAACTTGAGGGCATGGCGTTTATCATGACCTTGAGCTCCATGGTGTACCCCTCATAGGGGGCGAAGCCACACAGCTCCCAGATTGTGTCCTGCTTGAACTTGGTGTGTTTGGAGAGGTGTCCACAACGGCGACTGTGCCTCAGTTTGCTCACATTCTTTGTCATCTTTGGCCCTTATTGAGGCTGATAGCCTTAGGATAGTGTAGGGCCATGGCTACTGTTGTTCAAGGGTTGCTGTAGCGCTAGGCCTGGCTTTTTATTTAAGGAGCATTTTTTTTTTCTGTTAATAGCTCCCTTGCATTTAAATATTACAGACTAAATTATTTATAATTCAAAACACTTTTATTGTATCTAACTCATCTTTAGACACATTTTTAATTTTGTCTAGCTGCCTCATCTTTTTAAATTTTTAACTTTCTGCTTCAAATTTTTATTGATTTATGGATTGTGGAACAGGGGATTGAACTCATGGCCTTCATACTGAGCCACTTTCTCAGGGTGCATTTTTTTTGTTGTTGAGATGGCCCTACTAAGAGGCCCAGGCTGGCTCCAACTTGGGGTGCTCCAGTCTCAGTCTCTTGGGGTGCTGGGACTAAGGCAGTTGCTGTCATACCTGGCCCCAATTTAAAAATTATAAATGCATAGTTATTAATGGACTACATCCTTCTTACATTTTGTTTATATTTAAAGAAATTCAACACTATCTGTCACGACCTCATTCTGGGGTGATGTACAGTGCTGTGTACACTGCCTGTGGGAAGTGGGTCTTAGGGATTCTTAGAGGCTGTCTCTGTTGTGCACTCTCATATTCAAACTTATGAGTCAGGCTTTTGAAGCCACAAGTCTAACAATTAGTGTCATTGAAATGTGCTTGTTAGTAATGATTTTATGTGGTGGTGTTTTTTTTTTTTTCAAATCAGAGTGACTGTTCACCTGGGGTTACTAAAGAAATAGCCAATGATGCTGTGAAAATAATGTTTTCTGATTTGAAAAGTTTGCATCTCAAGACAACCATGGAAATAAAGGTATTTTTTCTTTAGCTATCATAGGCAGATAACAAAGAATGACCAATTATTATTTCCTCATTCCCTATTTTTAATTTAAGAACATAAATAGCTATCAAATATATCTGATTAAATTAGTAAAGATTGAAAAAATCTAACACTTTTTTAGTTATGAAGCCTTAAGAAATTCACATTTGGTTTTGTTTATTATTGTATCTTGTCTGTCTCTGAAAGGGAACAGTTACTGAATTCAAGCATCCAGGAAACTTTCATGTACAGCTGTATTCTTCAGAAGCTTTAAAACACATGAACCAACTCTCTGTAAGCCTAAAAGAAGCATATGCAAATGTGGTGCCTGAAGATTATATTCCTACTAAGGGAGAAGTTTGTGTGGCCAAGTACACTGTTGACCAGGTAACTACTGATGAATTGAATTACTGTTTCCACTTACTTTGATTGTATCAACTCATCAGCACCAGAGCTTTTAATGACGGATAAGATGGCTTAAAGTAGACTTACGTCACACGCATCAATGTCACTGCATGCCATGTTCACTTTATTTTCTCCCTGCCCTATCTCTCTCCAGTTTTGACTTTGGTTTCTTTTTTTAATTTTGGTATTTTTTAGACAAGGTACACATGGTGTACAGGGTCTCACTGTGTAGATCAGACTCATAGTGATCCTCCTGTTAACAGCCTCCCAAGTGCTGGGATTACAGGCACCACCATGCCCAGGCCCAGTCCCAGCACACCCTGGGAGTGGGGCCAGCATGGCAGGCCCCAGGGTCGAACTCCCCACCCCTGCGTCTGCCTAAGCACACGCTTTAATCTGCTGAGCTATTTGGTTGTCTTTGGTTTCTAGGAAGCTGGTTATAGACTTAGAGCTTGTGGTTGTGAAGCTGAGGTATCAATGCGTAATAGTCAGCTGGGCTGAAAGGGCTTTGGAACATTTGTGTCTATTAAACTATCCTAATTAGATAGTCTTAGGTATTTCTTAACAAGATTTGTGGCAAATAAAGTTGACATTTTAGTTGAACAGAACAGGAGCTTTTCTTTTGCATGGTCTGTAAAATCAGTTAAAAGTTTCTTAAAGATTGTAAAATTCTGCTTTAAAGGAGAATACCACGCTGTTTCTTTTCCAGACCTGGAATAGAGTAGTCATACAAGATGTTGATGTGCCACAGAAGACAGCGCACGTCTCGTATATTGATTATGGAAATGAGGAAATAATTCCATTAAACAGAATTCACCAACTAAGTAGAAACATTGAATTGTTTCCTCCTTCTGTGAGTCTTTTTCTTTATAGTTCCTATCAGTGTCTCTAAGGACCTGTTTTTAATGTCGTTGTCATCGTCCTCGTCATCGTCGTCTTCTTCTTCTTCCTATTATTTTGTGGGACTGGGGATTGAACTCAGAACCCTGCACTTGCCAGGAAAGCGCCTGTTCTACTGAGCTACCTCCCCGGCCCCCTGTTTTTAATGTCTTGATGGGCACAATTTTTTTCTTCTATTTTGTCATGTTATTGTGCCTATTGGCACGTCCTTTCATGTGTAAATGAATACCTATTGGCTACCTTGACTCTATTATCCTTTTTTTTTAGGAACTGGGGATTGAACCCAGGTTTGCCAGGGAAGCACTTATTCCACTGAACCATCTCCCCGGCCCCTATTATCCTTTATTTAATTAAGTAGAATGTGAGCTAAGAAACTAACATTTAGGCTGATCTTATCGATCTTTGTGTGTGTGAGGTACTACTGATTGAACCGAGGACCTGCACATTAAGCTACATCTCCAGGCCTTTTTATCTCTTACTTAAGACAGTCCTCCTAAATTGCCCAAACTGGCTCAAACTTGCAGTCCTTTTTGCTTCAGCCACCCGTAATGCTGGGATTACAAGTGTACATCACCATGCCTGGCTTCAGTCTATTCTTTTCTATATTTATTACATCATTATTATTATTACTATGTTTTTATGTATTTACTATAGGGCCTCACTACACAGATCAGACTTGCAGTGATCCTTCTGTTTTTCAGTCTCCCAAGTGCTGGGATTATAGGCACATGCCACCATGCCCAGTCTCAATCACTGTTTCAACATGCTCTAGCCCCTGTGTTTGCCTAAGCAGGCTCTTTAATCTGCTGACCTATGTGGCCGGCCTTTATTACATTGTTTGAAAGTGACCCAAATTATGTGTAGCTACAATTAATTATTGTCCTATGAATTTCTCATGCTTAACGTGCCAAAAGTCAGTATTATGAATGATGCAGTAAAAGAGACAAATATAATCATACCCAAAATTATTTATTTGGTTAGTATGTGAAGACTTTTTGTAAGTTTTTAGCATAAAATGCATTCTTTTGTTTAAAAAACTCACATAATTAGAAAAATTCACTCTTTCTTTCTTTCTTTCTTTCTTTTTTTTTTTTTTTTTTTTTTTTTTTGTGGTACTGAGGATTGAACTCAGGACCCTGAGCTTGTCGGGCAGGTGCTTATTCTACTGAGGTATCTCCCCGGCCCTTTATTTTTATTTTATTTTTTTGGTGGTACCAGGGATTGAACTCAGGACCTTATGCTTGCCAGGCAAGTGTTTATTCTACTGAGCTATCTCCCGGCCATTGAGCTATCTCCCCAGCCCCCCTATTTTTTTAAAGAGGAAAAAAATAGTAAAAATAAACGTTACACAATTTCACTAAACAAAATGATAGAAATTCAACAATGGTTGTTATATTTATGTTGTTGTCTTCATATTAGTTTTTCAGATTGCCAGATATAAGCATTCAAAATTGGTTTTAAAGAAGAACAATTAATTTTTCATTTATTTTCCTTTAATTTTTTTTGAAAAATTTATTTTTAAATACTCTCACAAGTAACTTATATAAACTCTTTCAGGCTATACAGTGCTTTGTGGCTGGTGTTATCCCAGCAGAGGGTGTTTGGAGCGATGATTGTATCAAAACTATTAAGTCATTGCTGATGGAGCAGTACTGCTGTATAAAGATTGTTGACATCTTAAAAGAGGAAATGGTTACCTATGCTGTAGATGTTACCCTGCAAAGTTCAGGTAAGGTCTGAGTATTTCTTCATAAGTCAATCACTTCATATCTCTTTTTAATCTGCCACCTATTATTTGACCAGGAATAGGTGAGACCAAGGAAACTCCATTCTGGAGTCACTTAAATTGTCAATTTGTTAAGTATGTATGTAGCACAGATTCAAAGAGCTGAGTGGTAGAGAGGCTAGATTTAGATGTTAGCTATATTACTATCCTTATAATGTTATTGTAATATTTACTCCTGATTTCTGTTTGGAGAGAGATCCTTATTTATTCCTATTAGTGCTTTGAGTAACTCCCACAGAACTGTGTTTTGCTAGTCCATGATGTAGACATGGAAACATTTGGGAGTCCTGCCTTCCGTTGTGGATCCATTCGTGTTAGAAAAGTAACCTCTTCCAACGTATGTGTAATTTTGAATTCCCAAGGTCTTTTTGCACCTCTACTTTTAGCATCATGGGTGACTTACCAGAAAATTGGGGTGGGGAGATAGTTCAGAAGTCTAAGCACCTGCCTGGCAAGCGCAAGGACCCAGGTTTGATCTCTGGTACCACATGTCGTGCTGGTCCCAGGCGCTGGCCAACAGCCATCAAAACTGGGCATGGTGGCACATGCCTGTAATTCCAGCAGTGGGGAGGCTGAGACTGGAGGATTACTAAGACTCTGAGCTGTGTAGTGAGACCCTGTACCAAATAAATGAATGAATGAATGAATGATTTTTTTGAATTATTTAAAAAGAAAATGCAATTGATATGTTGAAACTTAGCATGAAATTTATGTGTCTTGTTTCTTTTCTATTTCATACTGATCCCAGCTTTTGGATATTATTTAAGAGAACTTGAAATTTAGGTCAATACTTACCTTTATTGCAGTCATACTGTCAGTCTAACAAAAATGGAGTCAAGTATTTGAGACTGATTTTGTCTTATAAGTGGTGGTAGTTCTAAGTGTCCTTCTATGATGATAACTGAACTTTTCAGAATTTTTAAGAGAAATAGAGTCCCCACTGAGCCATCTCCCCGGCCCCTTTGCTTTTGTTTGTTTGTTTTAATTATTCATTTATTTTTATTTATTACATTTATTTATTGTGTGTGTGGCCAGCTCAGCCCACCAGGGGGCGGGGCTGGCTGGCATGTGGGGCTGGGGGATTGAACTGTGGTCCCTGTGCTTTGCTAAGCTTGTTCTAAGTAGGTGCTTTAGACCACTGAGCCATCTCACCAGCCCCTGCTTTGATTTTTAAAGCTGCTCGTAACTAAACTGTTTTACCCATAGTACCTGGTAGCATAATGCATGCTAGTACATTAATAGCTATAAAGTCAGTTATATGATTTCCTTGTTTTTCATTTATACCTTTCCTGTAATTTATAAAATATTTCAATGGAGATATATTTTCTTAATTTTAGGAGAACTCTTAGACCATGTGCTTGTGCAAATGGGGTATGGTTTAAAAGCCAAAGGGCAAAATTCTAAGAAGCAATGCACAAATCAAAGTGAGTATATATATAGATTAATATTAAACAATATTGTGACTTCATTTATGAGAGTATCTTCTCTACTAAATAAAAAAAGCATGACTGCAGCATTGTTGAGACTTTTCTGTATTTAGTTTTTTAAAAATTAATTTTATTGAGAAACAGCAATGAGACAGTTTCAAAACAGGTTAGTAGGTCGGTTACAATAATTAATACATTGCATATTGTTGTCTTTATAGTAGTTATTCATAGTACAAGATGCAGACATGATATCCTGTCCAAATACTATTAGTACAAATCTTTCTTCTCATTGATGTCGAGACTTAACGGTAACTATTTTATAAATTTTATAAGAAAGATGAGATTTTTCATTTAATAGTATATTTACCCCCCACTCCCTATACTGGGGATTGACCCCAGGTTCTTCATACTGAATGCATTCCCAGTCATATTTTAAAATTTTGAGGCAGGGTCTCTCAGTTGCGCAAACTAGGCTTGAACTTGTTATCCCTCTTCCACCACATCCGAGTTCTGGGGTTACAAGTGTGTGTCCCCATACCTAGTAGTTAATGGTTCCTAATCTCAGTTTTCACTGCTTGTTTCCTTCCCAGGTTTACTTTATGCTTTGCTGGTTGTGTGTGTTTTCATAGTCTCTCTCTTCATTGTGTTCCTTTAACAATTGCTTTATTTTTTTATTTTTTTTTATTTTTTTTAATTCTTCACAAAACTGTATTGATTTTAATT